CATAACCTAAGCAACACACCAGAAGATAAAAATTCAACAGTACATTATCTATGCAAATAACTCCAGTATCTTAAAATTATTTGTATTTCTCCTTGCTCCTCGGGTATTCAGAGGAGCACAACTCTGTTTTCATTTACCTTATCCTTTTCCTTTTCCATCTTCTCTATGTCTTCATTAAGTTGTTTTACCTTCTGTTCAATTTCAGCCCTTGACTCCTGTAAATTCTCTATATTAGATTGCATTTCTTTTAACATATCAGTGGAGGATACCCTTGTTTCTTCAGCCATTACAAACTGATAAGCTACACAGAAACGGCTTAAATGTTCTATTTCTCGTACTAATTTCTGGTATTCTAGATAGGATGCTCGTTCCTGGACAAAAACAAAAAAAAAACACCTCTAAATTTTGATGGAAAAAACAGCGTTACATAAGACTATTACAGAAATCTTTTAAGCACTCTAAACATCAGTATTTGTAAGTAAGAGGATGGATTCTTCATGTTATTCTCAGCTAAAACAATATTCATAATTGACTGCACACAAGAAATACCACTTCACTTAATTTTTTTAAGAACTTTTAAATCTATTTTTATCTAGTTCTCTTGTTTTCTTCCTTCTCCCTACATCTCTCACTAGGATTTCCCGGAAGTCTAAAATGTCACATTCTCTGTATTTGGAAATATGACAAAATTCTTTCCCTTACAAAAGGGAAAGAATTGCAGCGCTAGAAAACATGCTATTGTTTTAGCCAAAATTTACTGGTTCAGGGTAGCTGTGAAAGTATTTTTTCAGCACTTGAAGGACCTATCTTACCACCCTTCCAATTTTTCCATACCTCTTTCAGTTTCTGTAAAGTTGGACTGATCTCCTCATTTAAGACCTGAAACATATAACAGAAGATTTATATTCTGATTTTACTGAACTCTAAAATTTAAACATGTCTAGGCATGGATATCTAGTTCCAGGTGCAGAATTGAAATATTCCAGAACATTGTACAAAGCCAGCATTGAACTAGTTGTTCAGTTATCTTTAACAAACATGAATGAAATGTAGTACCATTTGAATGCTTTTCAGTTTGGATTCCTTCTTCTCTATGGTTTTCTGGGCAGCTATTTTCTTGCACTCATACAACCTAGTTCCAGCTGCTTCTTCAACCATAGCTAAAATCTAAAACAAAGCAATGCAAAAAACTTTGATGTTTCTTCTTACGTTAGATTGGTTCAATTAAGCTGAACATTTCATCTCCCTCCAACCTTTATTTTTGTTGTCCCCCTCCCAAATTATAGATCCTTATCATTCAAAACAGTTCAGTGAAATTTCAGACAAAACCACTCCCACAATTGTCCTACCTCTGGCGGCTTCATATTTAGAACTTTGGTTATTTGTCCCTGGTGACAGAAAGATAAAACAAGATCAGTGGATGTGCACCATGAAGTAGTAAGAAGAAAAACCAAAACCCAAAACCCCCACTCACTTTTATACATTGTCCTATAAGTTCAAGCACTTAATTTTTTTTTTTTTTTTGCTACAATAGTAATCTAGTTTACTCAATTGTTTAGCTCTTCAAAGTTCAGATAAGTCACTCTTCCAGGTAATATACTTGAAATGGCCCTTACATCGTATCTTAGGCTAATCCTTCACAGTCCTGATCACATCTTAAAGGAGTAATGCAAATATTTTTCTTAGAGTCTTACTGGGTTGCTGATGTTAACAAGCTCCTAATCATAAACCAGCTTTATTGGTGATGTAGCTCATACATAACAGGTAGAAACAGAGTATGTACAAAACTGTTCCCACCTTTGCCATCCACCTGGGACAGTTACATTTGAAACAATAAATCCTGCTGTATTTTATTATTCCTTGAATTAACATTTCAAATATTTCAGGGATTTGCCCAGTCCCTTACAGTCTTCATTTTTTCAGCTTTCTTTTGATAACTATGACTCAAGGAGGTACATATCTCAACTTCTTTCAAGATACTGTCTAACATGGAGCACAAATAATAGCAAATAAAATCTGCCATTTTATAATATTTATAAAAGCTATACCTATCTGTTAAGGATAAAAAAATAGAAAATAAAATGGGAACATCTTGTGGAAAAGTTTTGCTAACATGAGGGCCACATGAGGTCTTGTGCTACAAGATGTGTGTTAGCATCAAACTATGCTGTACTGGAAATATTAATAACTTAAAAGACTTTATTTTTTCTGGATAAGATGCCACTCTAATTAGGAAATTAAATGTTTTCCCACTATCTCCTCTGTCTTAAATTTAGTGCAAGTCCTACTTTTTCTGGATTTTATAGAGATACACACAATACCTGCATAATGAGGAAGTGAGGATTATTGACATTGAGTCCAACAGAACAGAAGAGATCCTGCACACGACTGTTGGCAGCATTCACACCATTGATAAGATACTTACTTCTACCTCCAACAACAACCTAGAACAAAGACAAAAAAACCTGCTTAGTGTTGTGAGAATATAAATTGTAATAAAGCATAAAGAAATCTCAGCAAATCACACCTGTTATATCTTTGCATACATATGTATGTGCAGAACATCAAAACAGAACTTGTTTGACATCTAAAATATTTAACTAAAATATAAGAAAGATTAGTCATTGAGGACAATACTGTCAAGAAACCTTCCAAAAGCTCTACTTTAAAAAAAAAACAAACAATAAAAAAATAATCAAAAACCAAAACTCCGACATCTTCATGAGAAAAACAAAGGTTCCTTTGTTCTTGGAGCCCAAATTTAACACAGAGTTCAGATATTAAGAGGAAAGATATGAAAGCAGAAAAAGCCGCAAGATAGAAAATTTTAACTTGCTTTATGAACACTTCTAGCTAGTACACTGGACCTACTCTTACAGATTGTATAACTAACTGCACTATAGAAGCAACATAGAAGCCTTGCCTCTAATGCAGAAACTCAGGGACGTTAAAAATCAGACTTCTTTTTTTCCTTGATCACTCATGAACATGGCAAAAATGTAAATAGGTTATGAAAAAAATACAGATATTAAAGACTCACCTGTCTAGTCACAGTGATCTCATCATTAGATTCAAATCCCAGTGGACTTTGACTTTTGTTTGAATTATCAAAGCGAATAGACACAGTTGCCTTTGTAATTCCAGCTTGCCCATTCTTATAAACTAGATCTTGCAAGTTGGCAGCCCGCACCTAAGTCCAGGGAACAGATAAACACTTTTTTGAAAGAGATTAACATTTTAATTGTACTAGTGTAAGTTTTGGAGAAATTAACCAAAAACCCAAAGATCTAGCTGCATATTTATGAGTTCATGTGAACTGACACATGGGGGCTGCAAGGTGCTATCATTGTAAAACCACAGCCAGTGTGTGCCAGTCTAGTTTTACTTATCTAGATAAACTGCATGTTTCTGCATGAGGGTCCTGACAAACACTGAAAACATCTGTAAAAAAAGCCAGCTGACAGTAAATTTATTTAACAAGCATTTATTTTTCACAATGCAGTTCACAGGGAAATATTCAGAAAGTGCTCCTTGGAGGCCTGCTGACTTTGTCTATAACTGGGGGAAGGTAGGGATGAGAAAGAAGGCAAATTTAAAAATCACCTTCAGACAGAGATTAAAATTGATGTAAAAGCACCCACTTTTTTTATAAAAATAAAGCAGATATATCATCTCTTAAATAGCAGGCATGGCATGAAAACCACTTTTAAATTTTTTTCTGATGAACCAGGTAGCCAGACTTTAAGATTCAATCCAGAACTGAAAACATTTATAACAAATGAGTGAATTAGTGCCTTTAGATGCAAAAAGGACTTTTGGCTTGAAGTTGTTAGCCCTTCAGTGGTTATTTTTAGTCTGTTGTTTTAAGCCACATACTTTGTGTAACTGTGGTATGTGGACGAAGTTGTTAACTAAACCTTAATGTAAGACTGAGCAACGACAGAGACCCAGATTCATGCAATGAAAAACGGAAATAATTAAACTGTTTCTTTCAAAGAAGCACCACTTCAGGTCTTCTGCGAGAGGTTACTCACCAGAGTAACATGAAAAGTTGCTAACAGAAGAAAGACTTTTCTCAAATGTCCCATCTCTTTACCTGTGACAGATTGGTGATTCCCAGCACGAAACAGATGGAGTCCAAGATATTGGATTTACCACTACCATTCAAGCCAGTAATGGCATTGAATAACGGGTCAAAGTCATTAATTTCTGTCCTCTGAGCATAGGACTTAAAACCTTCAAGAACAATTGACTTAATGTGCATCTTCTCAATGTTCCTAAGGGACCAGGCAAAGTATTCCTCTGAGAAGCACTGAGAAAGGTATCCGGATTATAATCCTATATACTTCAGAGTAAAGAAAAAAGAATAACCAAATTAATCATATTGCCAAACAAACAACTAGATCTGAGAAAACGGAAAGGACGCGTGCCTTTTACAAAAAAAATATCATGCATTTATAAGCGAAAAAAGCCAAGTAGACCACAGGTTCAGGCAGTATCCCAACTGTACATCAGCATTTCTAAGGGACCTGACTTTACATAAAGTTTATCACGACACCTGGGTATAGACTCGCGGCAAAACCACGAGTTTGTCGCAAAGCTGGCCGGAAGCGAAGGAGGAGAAAAGCCCCGGGTGCTCCAGAACACGGCAAAGCCTCCCTTTCCCGCTTGCAGAATTGCTGTACCTGCTCAGCCACACCGCCCGCGAGGGGTAAATCCCAGGGAAGCGGCAGCCTCGGCTTTGAGGCACCGCGAACAAGGACTCATCAGAGCCCCATCCACAACCCTGCCGCCTTCATCGCGCTGCCTCCGCGGCCCCGCCAGTGACCCTGCTCCGGCAAGCTCTTCCTGCCGGCTCTGATGCCAAATCGGCCGCGGGCAGCCCTGCTTTTCTCCCCGATCCCAGTGCCTTACCCGCTCAGCCCCGACCGGCGCCACTCCCCGACGCCCGCAAAGATCAAATTTTGGCGCCGAGCGTCGCAGCCGTTAGGGGAGGTGCCTGATGGCGGCCGCCCCGCGCCCTCAGCCCGGCCCGCCCTCCCCGGCGGGAGAGGGGCGGTGCAGGGCCGCCCGTGGCGACTCCCGGGAGAAGAGCGGGCACGGCCTGGATGCTGCTGGAGGGGAAGGTGGGCAGCCCAGGGCAGGCACGGCAGGCGGGCACGACTGGGAAAGAGCTCCTGCGGCTCTGACGCGGGCGGGAGCCGGCGGAAAATGGCGGGTGCCGGCCCAGGGAGGGAGAGTGGCCGGGGCCCTGTGGGCCTCGAGGGAGATGGGGGAAGGCACGGGAATGCACTTGGGCGTTCGTGGGGAGTTCTGTAGCGAGGCTGAGGAGCTTGAGCGTTAGCTCCAGGCTGTGGCCGGAAGTGTCTTTGTACCTCCCTGAAGTTATGTCAAAATGAAGTGCTGCTCTATACTTCCTACGCGCATTCCTACTATGCCACCCCATTTCCCCCAAAAAAATAAAAAAAAAAAACCCCGACCGCCATTTATGCCTATTCAAATCTGTTGCTATGACTTATACACACATGCTTCCATTCAAGCAGATTTAGGAGAACTTGCTCAAAATGTGTGAGTACGTGTCACTGGAAGAACAGTAGGTGTCTATTGATTGCTGCACTGGTCCAAGCAGGAAAGCAAAGTTGGCTGGATGCGTTTATTCGTCCCTGAGCTTGGTGGTTTTTTGGTGTTTTTTTTTTTTTTTTTTTTTTGGTGTTTTTTTTTGTTTTTTTGGTTTGGTTTTTGGGGGGGGGGGGGGGGGGGTTTTTTTTTTTGGGTTTTTTTTTTGGGTTTTTTTTTTTTTTTTTGGTTTGGTTTTTGGGGGGGGGGGGGGGGGGGTTTTTTTTTTTGGGTTTTTTTTTTGGGTTTTTTTGTTTTTGTCGTGGAATAACAGCCTTTATCCCAATATCGTGTGTTGTGTGTGGCAGCTGCGCCTTTTCCTCCCCCGGCCGTCTTGCCGCGGCGGGGCGGGGAGGAAGGGGTGAGGGTGACCGGGCACCTTGGCTTTTGCTTTTGGCTGCTTGGCTTGCTGGCTTGCTTGCTTACTTGCTTACTCCTGCCTCGGCTGCTAGCTGATAGCTGTTTTTTTACTACTTTCTGCTTTCTACGCTGTTTCTTTTCTTTTTCTTTCGTTCCCTCTTTCTTACCCTCCCCCGAAGATACTGGACCAGCTCCAGATCTGACCTAGGACGCCCAAGACCCCCGGCGTCCAGAACCCCCAGAATCTGCAAAAGAAGCTCAACGCCCTCCATAGCACTACCTAGTTTCTTTTCTTTTCTTGTATTAGAAAGTGTTCTTTTATTATTTGTTAATAAATAAGTTTTGTTTTCCACTATACTCCTCCAAAAAATTCCTTCCCAAACCCAATATTGGGAAAGAAGTAGTTAAAAGTTTTTTTTTTAAGAAGCTCCCTTTTAAAAATTTCCCCTAATTTGTCCTAAATAAGGACAGTATACTTTTTGGTGTGTTGGCCGGGAAATGAAGGCCAAAGACAGTGGAAAAAAAACGTATAACAATACTATTTTGGTTTTGGTTGTTTTGTGGAAGTCATAATGTCATTTGGGGTGAAAGCCTGCTGGTATTTCTGGTCCCTAGGGGTTTTTGAAGTTTTAATACCTTTGTGGTCCCTAGGGTTATTTCCTTACCCAGAAATAGCTCTGGTGTTGTCCCTAATAAGTAGCTCTTGTAGACGAGGGGGATTAACCAGAACAGTTATTGGGCTGGTCTTACGTGTTATGATTTATCGGAGGGTTATAAAAATGCTGGACTTTGTTTCAGGAATGTATGGATTGTTGTTATGGCTGTGTACTCAGTTTGTTTGGAGAGAAGAAGGGGAAGAGGCTTTTCAGCTTTTGTCTTCCTTATTCTCCTCCCAAGTGTTGACATCTCTGTTAGAAAATATTAAATTTCCTCTGAGTTTAAAAGAAACCATCTTTCTGGCATTTAATTTATTAAGCCTTTTCTATACTGTCTGGAGTGTATATAAAATGAAAGCTGAGATTTCAATTGTAGAAAAAACATGAAGCGATAGAATAAAAAATCCACAGCTGCTCTGGCCCGACAGGTGCGTGAATTAAAGGAAGACAGAGCTCAGAAAAAAAGTTCTACCACAAAAAAAGCAGCTCCAGTTGCCCGTAGCCGAACTGCCAAATATGATAATGATAGTGACATGTCCAATCCCCTTAAAAAAACCTCTAAGACATATATCCAAAAAAAGAAAGATAACCAAACTTAGAGGGGCCCTGCCTCTAACCAAGTAGAGGCTAGAAAAAAATCGTGTTTTCTAGACAGTGTAAATTCGTTAGCCTAACACATCAAAACCACAAAAATATAAAGCTTTAGTCAACGCTAGTGCGCAGTATACCTTAATTCCATCAAAATGTGTAGGGACAGAATCCGTTTCTATTGCTAGTGTGACAAAAAAATCACAAAACTTCACTTTAATAGAAGCTAATGTGAGCTTGACTAAAAATAAGTAGAAGAAACATCCTATTGTGACTGGCCTAGAAGCCCCATGTATTTTAAGCATAGATTATCTGCAAAGTAAATATTTCAAAAACCCAAAAAGACTCAAGTAAACATTTGAGATAACAACTATAATGACAGAGGTCATCCAACAATTAAATACCTTACCTAAACTATCTAAAAATCCATCTACAGTAAAACTCTTGAAGATAAAAAAACAACAAATGCCAATTACCACCTCAACAGTGCACCACAGGCAGTACCAAACAAATTGAAATGCCGTAATCCCCATCCACAAAATAATCCAAGAACTAGAAAGCCAAGGGGTGGTCAGTAAAACCCACTCACCCTTTAACAACCCTATCTAGCCTGTACGAAAATCTAACAAAAAATAAAGATTGGCTATAAACTATCATACCTTAAATAAAATAACTCCACCACTGAGTGCGGCTATACCAAACATACTAAAACTACAATACGAGCTGGAGTCCAAAACAGCAAAGTAGTACGCAACCATCGATATTGCTAACACGTTTTTCTCCATTCCTCTGGCAGCAAAATACAAACCTCAGTTTGCTTTTACCTAGAAAAGAGTGCAGTATACCTAAAACCAACTACCCCAAAAGTAGAAACACAATCCTACCATCTGTCATAAACTAATCCAAGCTGCACTAAAAAAAAGTGAAGCTCCAAAACACTTACAATATATTAATAATATCATTATTTGAGAAAACACAACAATAAAAGTGTTAAAAAAAAAATCATTCATATTCTCCTAAAAACCAGATTTGCCATTAAGAAGAGCAAAGTCAAAAAACCTACCCAAAAAATCCAGTTCTTGGGGGTGAAGTAACAAGACAAACAATGTCAAATTCCTGCAAATGTTATTAACAAAATCACTGTCATATCCCCACCAACTAATAAAAAAAACCCACAAGCTTTCTTAAGTGCTATAAATTTCTAAAAGATACACATCCCTGAATATAGTCAGATTATAAAACCCCTTCATCTAGTTACCCGCAAAAAAAATGACTTCCACTGGGGCCGGAGCAACAGCAAGCTTTCGTCCAAATCAAACAAAAAATCACTCATACTATAACCCTTAATCCAGTCAGGACGGGACCAAACATGAAAAACATACTCTACTCTGCAGCCAGAAGCCATAGTCTGTCCTGAAGCCTTTAACAAAAGCTGCCTAACAAAACCCAAAGCCAACCATTAAAATTTTAGAGTCAAAGCTACAGGGGGTCTGAAGATAACTATACTCCAACAGAAAAAAAAAAATCTTAACTGCCTATAAAAAAATCCAAGCCGCTTCAAAAGTGATTAGTACAAAAACACAACTCCTCCTAGCACCCCGACTACCAGTGCTAGAATAGATGTTCAAAAAAAAAATTCCCTGTACCCACCATGCCACCAATACTACTTGGAGTAAGTGGATTGCCCTCATTACACAACACGCTGAAATTAAAAAATTAAATCACCCTAAAATTTTAAAAATAATTACAAATTAACCCAAAAATAAAAGCTTTAATATCACAAATAAAAAAACAAAAACCAGTGACCCGGGTTGAGGAAGCTCCACCATACAATCAATTGCCAACAAAAAAACCCACACTACACTCTATTCACCAATAATTCTTATCATATCATAAAAATAAAACAAAAATAAAAAACAACTATATAAAATCCCACTCAACAAATTACAAAAACTACTAAAAAAAAAAAATCCAATCAATTTACCAAAATTAAAACTATTCAACTAATCCTAAATATTACAAAAAAAAAAAAAAAGCCAAAGCTCTATTTATATACCAATTCTTAAATAATAACCAACACTATAAAAATAACTAAAAAAATAAAAAAACAAACTAACAACACAAAAAACCCCAATTTAAACTACGACAAAATAAAAAAATATCGCTACTCAATTAAAAAAATTACCTATAAAAATTCACCATGTAAATACCCATATCCCCAAAAATAAAACTAATCAAAAAGAACAAAACAACCAACAAATACATCAGACTACAAAAATAAAAAAATTAAAAATAAATCTCAACTAAAAACAAAAAAAAATTATTCTTAACACAATGAACCCATAATACCTCAAACCATCAAAATAAAAATACCACCTATAAGTGAACACAAAACCAAAAAATAAATCTAACCATAAACAATATCTCTCAAATTATTCATAACTATAAAACATACACTACCATTAAACAAACCAAACAAATAAAACCCCTCTGGTATGGGGGGCAATAGTCTAAAAACACATACAAAAAAACCTAACAAATTAATTACATCACACTACCTCAAACCCGCCAAAACAAACACTATATACTAACCATAATAAAAACCACCATGGGATGGTTGGAAACCTACCCTATATCTCATACTACAGCCCATAACACTATCTTAAACCTTAAAAAACAAATCCTTTAAAAACACAATACTCCCAAAAAAATTAAATAATAAAACTCATTTTAAAAACAATCTTATTAATACTTAAGCTAAAAAACATAACATCAAATAAATATACCATATCCCCTATCATACACCAGCTACAAAAAAAAAACCACAAAAATACAATAAATTATTAAAAACCACCTTAAAAACATTGGGTGGGTGTTGGGGTCCATTGTTATGTGTCTTTGCCCCGACACAGGGAAAGGTGGTTCTGGGCTCGTGATTTGCCTGATGCATAGAAACATGCATGTTATGTGTCTTTGCCCCGACACAGGGAAAGGTGGTTCTGGGCGGCCGCGATTGCGAAGGATGAGCCTGGACTCTTAGATTTTTGGTCTTCAGTTTTGTTTATTATCTCTTATCTACAAAGTTTTCTTTTTGCCCAGCCGAGGTCCGCTCAGCAGGACAGTCGAGTGCACTCTC